TCAAAAATGTGTGGTTACGTAGCTAAAAGTTATTCACCTTCATGTGACGTAAAATTTCATCATAGAATATCATTTTCGTTTCTGAATTTCATCACTACCTAAATGAGTTTCGTTATAGTTCCTCAAGGTTGATGTTATAAAATAATTTCTCCTTGGAAGGTGCTACCTAGACACTAATGTCATGCTTTACTTATAGTATAAAGCTGGTTTCAAATTCCTGTCATATAAGACAATCTTAATTTGGATATACTAGGCAGGTTTCATAGAATCTCACTTGATAAAAAATGTCTCTAAGCATACATGTATTCTTGGTAATGTAATTTGCGCTTTTTTGACTGACTGAGGGTTTCAGCTTAACATCTACCAGATGTGTGTTTCCATTATTGCCTCAATTGCTAAAACTGCGTATTTTGTTGTTTAAACCTTAAGAAACTGGGAAGTTTTTAGATCTCGATGGAATATAAATGAGATTTCTTAAGGAAATTGTGGGATTCTTTCACTACTTTCTAGCACTAATTATTTCTAAGGTTTGCTTCTACTAGGAAAAAACTGAGCAGAATGGTACCATGTAATCCCTTTTATAAAAACTACAATGCTTCTTACTCTTGCTAAAAAAGATGAGTTGCAATTTCATTGGTAATCGTGTTCCATCAAAACAGTATCGTTTATGCATAATAACGGCATATATTTCCTGAGTTTCACTTACGGATTTTTATTTATTTATTTATTTATTTGAACACATGAATATTGGTACAAGAGAGCGCCAATATATATGCGCCACACAAAACAATGAAATTCGAAGAGAAATAGAAAAAAAAACTAGAGAGCGCAAAAGAAAAAGAGAACAATGACGAAGAGATTGGAGTAAGGTAGTGTGGTAGTAACGACGGAACGAAAAGGTACAATCAGAAGAAATCTTTCAGGTAAAGGAGACACAACCACTTTTTATGAAGAAAGTAAAAGAAGGTTACAGCAGGATCGCCACTGGCTTCTATTCTGAGCCATATCTGATAACGTCTCTAGCCACTGTGTAGCACCATCTCTCGGACCCCAACCAGGGAGTCGTGAAGGACCAACACAAGCCAGTCCTTTGCAGCTTTCTTTCATGCCACGACACCATGTCATGCACTGACCACCTCTCCGCTTCTTCCAACCAGTCCCAGAGTCGGCAAATAATGCACGACGTGGAATTCTCTGGGACGACATTCGGAGAACATGTCCAAGCCACCGAAGTCGGTGTTTCAAGATGGTGACACCAATTGAGTTATCATCTCTGTGCCCGAACACACGATGCCGAACCTCTGCATTACTGACATGGTGTTGCCACTGAATGTCAGCAATCCTTCGGAGACAGCGATGATCGAACACAGAGAGTCGTCTAACGTCCTCAACTCGGAGAGGCCAGGTTTCACAAGCATAGAGCAAAACTGCTCTCACCGACGCGTTGTAGATCCGACCTTTTACAGCCAGACTAACATCACGAAGGCGCCAAAGGTGGCCCAGATTGGCATAAGCCGCTCTGGCTTTCACTATTCGTGCATTGATCTCATCACTCACACCCCCACCAGCACTTATGCAGCTACCCAGATACACGAACTTCTCAACTACGTCTATCTGCTCACCGTCCAGGGTGAGTACAGGATTAGAATCCTGCCAGTCTTGTAGAAGTACTTTGCACTTCGAAGGTGCAAAGCACATACCATACCTACGGACACTGATTGCCAACTGATTAAGTGCGGATTGCATGCCTTGGGCATTATCGCACAGTAAGACAATATCGTCCGCATACTCAAGGTCGAGAAGTCTTTCTCCAGGCAACAGATCCACACCACCATTACTTACATTCATCAGAGCTGTTTCCAGAATGTCATCGATGGCAAAGTTGAAGAGGAATGGTGAGATTGGGCAACCCTGCCTAACCCCACTGCTCGAATGGAACAATGGAGAGAGGTGGTTGTATGCCCTCACTCTGCCTGAGGTGTTTTTATATAGGGCTTTCAGGATGTTAATAAACTTCTCAGGCACACCCTTCTTCAATAGACAATCCCAGAGAACAGTCCTGTCCAACGAATCGAAGGCAGCCCTGATGTCAAGAAACACTACGATTGTTGGCCTTTGAAAAGTATGGCGGTGTTCTAACATTTGGCGGAGGGTGAAGATATGATCAATACATCCTCGACCAGAACGAAACCCAGCCTGCTCCTCGCGAGTCAATCTTTCTCGGGTTTTGAACAACCTACGAAGAATGACGGAAGCCAATAGCTTGGACGCAATCGGAAGTAAACTTATCCCCCGATAGTTGTTACAGAACGACGTGAACCCTTTTTAAAGATAGGGACAACTATCGACTCATTCCATGACGTTGGTACACTCTCTAGTTCCCAAACCTTTGTAAACAACGTCGTCAATTCCTTAGTCAAAAAGTCACCACCATCTTTAAAAAGAGCCGGAGGTAAGTCATCTGGGCCAGGTGATTTGTAACGCTTCAAGAGTTGGAGTTCCTTGCGGACTTCCTCCTCATTTGGTGGATCAGTCGTCACCGGCCATGGAGGGCAGGACAGTCTGACCGATGTTGCCGGAGCAGCAGGCCAGTTGAACTGCCCTTCGAAAAATTCTGCCCATCGTCCAAGACGTCGATGGATGTTAGTGATTGGCATCCCATCATCCTCGCAGATTGTTTCACTCACACCAGACTTCTTGCTGCCAGTGGCTCGGATGAGCTGGAAGAGCTTCCGGTAGTTACCAGATGCAGCTGCTGCTTCCAGCTCATTAGCACGCATCGACCACCAGGCTTCTCGGTCCTTACGCAAGCTTTGCCCAATTTCCTTACGTAACATCCTTCGTTTATGGTCAAACTCACGGTCACCCGGAGTAGACCGACGGGCTTCAATGAGTTGTAAGGAACCAGAAGAAACCCAGTGCTTAAAGCGGGACGTTTCGCAAACCCACAACTGACTGTTCCCGCCATTTTCATGGCGTCATGCAATTGCAACCAATGCTCATCTATACTTTTCGGTGGAGTGGTAGCTAGCCTAGAGGCTAGCTCGGTTCGATACTTACTTGCAACAGAAGTTGCAACCAGCTTGCTAACATCAATCCGTTGATGGCGGTCACTTCGTTGTCCACTGAAAAGTAAGGCAAGATTGGCGCAGACCAAGGCATGGTCAGAGTCCAGATAGGTACTCCAAAAGGAGCGGCAGTCTTGTACACAACCACGCCAGCGGTAGCTGATCGCGATGTGATCAATCTGAGTCCAGGCTTGAGATGCAGAGGGAGGACGCCAGGTGGCACATCGGCGATGACTGTGCCGAAAGTTAGTGCTAGCCAGAAACAGGTTGTGGTCTGTGCAAAGTTGCAGTAGACGGTCCCCGTTATCTGACCTGCGACCAACGAGTCCCCATCGGCCACCTAAACGACTCTCTTCTGTGCCTAGACGCCCGACCTGAGCATTCAAGTCTCCGGCTAGTACTACAATATCTGTCGAACGCACTTTCTGGAGAACAGAAAATAACTGGTGGTAAAACTCATCCTTGATTGCATCCGGGCTGCAATCTGTCGGGGCATAGGCGGAGATGACGAAAAGACATCGTTTCTCACGCCGATTTCTTCTCACTTTGATGGAACTTTCTAATCTAACAGCACATAACCGACTGTTAATGGGGATCCAATCGACTAGTGCTGCCTCAGCTCTAGCGCTTAGTGCGACACCAACGCCAGCAAGACCAGACGAAGATGCCACAGGGTCCCCGGATAAGCGCACGTAAAACAAGCTTTTCGAAGCGACAGATGGAGATCGAATTTGTAGTACTTCGCCAGAGTCTTGAATACGGGTCTCGGATAGACAACAAACATCGATATTAAGACTTTCCAAAGACATAGCCAGCCCTATCTGTTGTCCGACCTGCATAAATGTGCGAACGTTGAAGGCAGCCAGTTTGAATGGTGCACGTGGTTTCAGAAAAACTGCTTCAGTCCTCGTATTCGGTGGTAACATACAATTTTCAACCGGACAGTGACTCGAGAACGTTTAGATACAGTCGGATTTCCACCAAAGACGAGCCGCTGTATAAGTATAAAAGAGGGTGAATAATGTGGAAAATAATAATAATAATAATAATAATAATAATAATAATAACAATAATAATAATAATAATAATAATAGTAGTAATAATAATGACAATAATTGTAATGATAATAATCTGAATCAATTGTTTGTTTTTCAAAGCGAGAAAGGTAATTTCCATAGGCATAAAGAGTTCATCAATTTGTGTGTGGGCTGTGATACTGCCCGGGTGCCCAAACCGAAGCAGGTGGTTATCTTAGGGGGCCACTCCCCGAGCCTTTGACCTAAAGGTCTAACCCACAAGGCAGTGGAGCATCGTAAGGAGATGCAGTCCCATGGTAGCCGGTGACCAACGATTGGTTCATACGCCATTCGTTCCCGCAGGATACTGGAGCCCATGTGCACCATTGATTTGGAATCCGGTTAAAGCGCCGGACATTCGCTTTTCGTCCTCTCATTTTCGTAAACAACACCCCCGCCACGAGAAGGCAATGAGTAGGATCTCCAAAACTACTTTGATTTTAAAGTCGTTTAAGCTTATGAGACATTGTCACAGAAATTTCATCGCGATGAATGGAAGTGACTAGTTGGATTGTCGATACTATGGTATATCTAAAGTTGTCCAATTAGATTATTTATATCAAATAAGCACTCTATAGGGATGTTCTATCTTCTACCCAAACAGGAGGCTTTTGTCAACTATGTGTTTTTTCAAAATAATATACTTAAGCTCATTTTCCTGGGTCTTTTATAACTCATCCATCTTTATACATGTTCCTCATTGAAATTCCTATCCTCAAAATTTAATTAGTGATATACCATTTGTATTGATGCTTTGTAAACCGTCCATGTGTCTTCTACCTAAATTCTATTGAAATGTTACAGGTCCAATGGCTTTTCTCAGACTTGTTAGTTATTTTCCTAGGCCATCTTAATAATGGAAAATGTGCGATTTACAAAACTAGAGAAGCAAAGAGAACTTCTGCGCAACAAACAAAGGCAAAAATATGCACACCAAGTGTTGTCACTTCAAAAACGTACAGAAAGTGCTGGTATCAGTAGTTGTAAAGCTAATAGCTGGAGAGAAAACAAATTATCAAGTCAATCGGCTTTAGGTTTCCCAATAAAAGATAGAACCGATGAAAATTATTATGGTAAGTCTTCTCAAACGATTGTCATTGTAAGCATTATGAAGGTTTAACCAATGTTTTGCTGTAATTTTATCCTAGTTGTTGTTGAGTGATGATTTATCTAGATTTCTTTCAGCTGCCCAAATTTTCCTCGGCATAATCTGGATGTAACACCAAAAGTTGGGCGACGATTTGGATGAGATTGAGAGGTTTTATCTAATATTGTAAAACTGCTTTATATCTTTCTTTCTACCAACTGATTCTCCCTTTACTATATCCTTATATTCAATCTGTGGTGGACCAGACAGATATGAACGCGAAAAGTATTAACAAAGTTACTAAAGATCAATAGTAATATTAATATATACCAGTTAATTGTTACAAATACAATAAAAATTTGGAACGTTACTTAAATTGACCAAATGTTGCGTGTTCTGATTGGGTCCGGTATTGTAAATCCACAATTATAAATGCTTGGTGATTCTGAGCGGGTTGACGAACTCTCCAGTGATATAATCCAACGTAGAATGTGGTATATTCCAACTACAGTCTATAAATAATGATAGTATTTGATTTAGACTTCAGTTAACTCAATCACAAACGAAGATAGAACGAGGAATGTGTGAGTAGTAGTGTATTTGTTAGCCAGCAAGAGTATGTCACGCTATGTCAGGATCATAACGGAAAGTGTGTTCAAGGTCATTTAATAAAACAACAGTTACAGTCATTTAATGTTAAATATACATACAGTGGAAGGTTGACAAAATAAATACAAATAACATTGAAAACTATTTATAAAATAAGCTTGTCAGGCCTATCTCCACATAGCTCCTCCCAGAGTATCCGGAGGTAACACTGGTTATAATAAAAAAAATGTAAGGATATGATATATACATGTATACAAAAATAATATTTACAGTTATAACTAACAAAAATGTGGAGATGAGTATGATATGTAGCATAGCATAATAAACACAAAAAAAATGAAAACACTGTCATTTAATGTCTTGTTTGGCTAACAATGATAATAATAATGTGCAAAACTGCTAATGACCCAAAAAAAATTGAACTGTTTATTTTTGTGTACAATAAATGAGTAATTAAATAGAGTTTACTCGTTTATCATAGTAACAAAAAAATTTTTTTATAAAAAAAATAAATGTGACAAAACGAATAATTGTGGAAAAATGTGATTATGTACACTGTGAAAAGAAAAAAATTTTTGGGTGAAATTAGTAGTGTGGGACATCGGTAGGTGTTTGCTTTTTTTGTTTTAATCGACGAAATGAACATAACGCTTGGGCTTGTTTATAAGTCTACCGGAGCGTGTTAAACAAGAAGGCTTAGTATTAAGTTTTTTATCCTCCACTGGTTTTTCAGTCACTGGTAGGAGGGGTTGTTTGTCAACGGCGTTGTCTTCTTTGACTTGAGTAGCTTCATAGAAAGGAGGTTTTATTCTGTCTATAGAAATGGTCTGCTTGTTGCCATCTCTGTTGATGATGAAGTATTTTTGTGTGCGTCTAATTACTTTATATGGGCCTTCCTATGGTTGTTTTAATGTTTTTTTAATCGCATCTACTCGGACGAAGACAAATTTGCACGTCTCAAGGTTTTTATCAAGTTGGACTCGATAGTTGTGCTCGCGAGGGGATATTGCTTTAATATTCTGCATCGTTTGTAATAGGTGACTTGCGAAGTGAGTAGAATCCCCGGGCGTTGTAGGTTCATAGTTGACTAGTTGACCAGGTAACGTTAGAGTTGTACCATAGACTATTTATAAAATAAGCTTGTCAGGTCTATCTCCACAAATCTTTCTTTTATACATTACTACCATTGATGTGATTACTTCTATGGATTTGGTGTTCATCTTGCTGTGCTAATGAGGTTTGGCAACTTGGACAGATGCATATATGTGCTTGGTCCTGCGTTGTAGCCGAATGAATATTTGTAACTACTAGTTAGTAAAACTCCCACTATTTCAATAAAAAGGTACGATGCTTGTATTGTGGGATCATTGATCTGGGATTAAGTTGTAGTAAGAAGTAACGACGTGACTACTTAATAACACAGTATCTGTTTATTGTAAGATAATACGGAATCAAGATTTGGGATTACATTACATCATTATTCATGGTGTCTGTTATTCATTGTGTGCCTTTCATTTATTCAGACTAACATTTGCGCTATTTTTCGACCCGTTTGACCGTCTCTTTTTTTCTTGAGTTCCTTTCAAAACATGGTGATTTTAACTGTTTTCGGGAATTTTACCTTTACAATACAAATAAACTGATTGATCGTGTTTTCAATTCACGTATTTTAATCTGCTGTGCTGAATTATAGTTATTTTTGTTAGACTACATACATTTCTTAAATTTGGTGGAAAATTACGTTTAAGTTTATCAATTACTTTTGGTTTACTAGTCTTTTAAAGAAACGATCTTTTTGTTGATTAAGTTAGTGACATTTAGCTGGAGATCGTTTATCCCAAACAGCTTCACAACATAAAATACTTCCATTCACTGTTATAAAAGCGTAGACCGAACTTCTGTTATAACCGGTGGTAGAACGCGTTTTAAATTAAGTTTAATAATATTGACCAATGCTACTATATGTCGTTTCAGTTGTCAGTCTGTTTTCCTTTTTATCTCTTCTACACTTATCAGTATAAACTGCCGTGAAGTTCGATTTAAAGATCTCATCGTTTCGATTTAGTGTGGCTTTAGTCCACCTATGCTCAAATTAATATTTCACCCTGTATAAATGTTTTAGCATATGACGGTCCGCAATCATGTGATACATCAAACCCTGATGATTTTCCTACAAGCGAAGTTCAAGTTATTCATGTACTCACAAAACCTACTCCTTTGGGACAACCAAAGTTTGATCAAACAGTAAGGCGCAAACCAAACTCTGAAGCAATACAAGATAATGTAGTGGATAGTGAAGATTACAAAAGTACTGATAGTCTGAATAATCTAACCATCACACGGTCGAGTACTATGTTGTCTTCTCTTGACCAAGATACCTATCTGGCTTCTACTGGTAAGTTATTCAAATTACGCATAACTTAAAGCTTACAGTTGATGATATTGAAGTTTTTTGGGTAAAACACTTAGAAATGTGACGGAATCCAAAATAGATAAAATAACATGTTTCTAATGTGGTTTCCCAGAGATTTTGTTCAATTTAAAGGTGATTTTCATTACATGTTGATCATTTGGAGTAGATTTAGAGGACTTTGTGATATTCGAACTAAAATTTGGTACATTTCTTGGTTTTCTGTTGCACTAAATCTCTCGAGACTTAAAGCAGTGAAGGTAATCAAACTAAAGCATAATTCTAACTCATAAATTCATTGATTCCTTGTTTCAATCTTTTTAGACAATAGGGTTCCTAAGTGATATAGAAAAGAATATACAATGAAGGTTTAAGACATGGCTTACAAATCATACCAACGAGACAACTTTTAGATTTAAAAACTGGTCATATAAAAAACCTAGTCGTTTGTGTCTTCCTCAAGATTTTCTTAATATTCCAGTTTCCTGGTTTCTTTTCTTTTTTTCTCAACGACTGTACTCATCTACAGCATCACAACAGATAAAGTATTTTACCATTGATTTTATCGAATAGAAAAGCTATATATATATATATATATATATATATATATATATATATATATATATATATTTGAACACATAAATATTGGTACAAGAGGGCAACAAATATATATTTGCGCAACACAAAACAATGAGATTTCGAAGAGAGAAAAGAGAACAATAACAAATAGGTTAGTGTAAGGTAGTGTAATAATAATAATAGTAATGTAGGAAACGGAAAGGTACAATTAAAAGAAATCTTTCAGTTAAGGAAGAAACAACCATTTTTTATGAAGAAAGTTAAAGAAGGTTCCAGCAGGATCGCCACTGACTTCTATTCTGCGCCATATCTGATAACGTCTCTAGCCACTGTGTTGCACCATCTCTAGGACCCCAGTCAGGGAGTCGTAAGGAACCAACAGAAGCCAGCCCTTTGCAGCATTCTTTCATACCCCGGCACCATGTCATACATTGACCACTTCTCCGCTTTTTCCAGCCAGTCCCAGAGTCGTCAAATAATGCACGACGTGGAATTCTCTGTGACGACATTCGTAGAACATGTCCAAGCCACCAAAGTCGGTGTTTCAAGATGGTGACACCAATCGAATTATCGTCTTTGCGCTCGAACACACGATGCCGAAGCTCTGCATTTTCAACCCGTCAGTGGCTCGAGAACGTTTAGATAGAACCGAGTTTCCACCATAAGCGAGCTGCTTTATAAGTCGAAAAATAAGGATACACAGAGTGGAAATAAAAGAGAGTGAATAAATGACTTAGTAAATAATAATAATAGTAATAATAATAATAACGTGAATCGTTTGACTGTTAGTCGAAGCAAGTAAAGTATTTTCCGTAACTATCGTCCTTTCATTCTGTTTGTGTGTAGGCTGTGATACTGCCCGGGTGCCCAAACCGAAGCAGGTGGTTATCTTAGGAGGCCACACCCCGGGCCTTTTACCTTAAGATCTGACCCACAAGGCAGTGGAGCATCGTGAGGAGATGCAGTTCCATGGTAGCCGGTGACCAACGATTGGTTCATACGCCATTTGTTCCCTCAGGATACTGGAGCCCATGTGCACCATTGGTTTGGGATCCGGTTAAAGCACCGAACATTCGCTTTTCGTCCTCTCATTTTCGTAAACAACACCCCCTCCACGAGAAGTCAGTGAATAGAGTAGGACTTCCCTAGCAGAGGCTGTGTACGCGTGGCCGTGTGAGAGCATTTCGAGAGGGAGGGCGGGCCCACCCCACTCTCTGCCGTACCAGGGCATTTGGGGGCGACAAACAACATAATATTCAGAAATGTAGCACCAAAAAGGTTAGTGGTTCTCCTAAATTCATTAATTAACAGTTAAAATGAAAACATAGGCTACACAGTTCGAGAGACGTAGAAAAGTTAATAAATAACTTCAAAATCCAATCAGATTACTTCTTTTGTAGACGACAAATGTTACCATTGTAATCTGAATTTTTAAGACTTCACCGAATAATTTGTAACCTTATATACAGTTTTCCTTAGATTTCCGTTATTTCCAACAAATGTATTTATCGAAATATTTGTAAAAATTCCTGAAAGCTGATAAATCACTCATCCATGTAGTTTCTGTAAAGCTTATGACACATTTAGTATTAGTGTCCCACAATAAATACATCAACTATTTTTTTGCTCGTTATCATTATCCTTAGAATAATGTAATAGAAAAGGATCTTTTCGAAACATGGAAATATCCGACAATTTCCTAGCTTTAGATGCGTTTTTTATTCTGCTTTTATTTTTAGTAATCGTTGATTGTGTGATCGCATCGTAGTAATGAAATCAAGGAACTAGATTTTTAAACAATTTTTCACGGTTTTTAAGACATTAAAATTTCTGATAATGCATGCGAATCAAATAGCTAGTAGTCTTCAAGGCGAGTATAATCACTTAAATTTTATAATATTATAGGAACAAAATATAAATGATTTAGGGTAAGGAATGAGAATGGAAAATAATAAATATTTATGGCTAGTAGATTTATAATTTGCTCAGGTTGTTGATAATTTTGTTCAAGAAAAACAATAAATTTGGGGTACCTAGCCTGTCGTAGTCCCTGATGGTGTTCTCATAGCTTTCGGATTGCCTGATCTGCCAAGGGCGATGAGACAGTGCATGATGCTACTGTTGTGTGCAAATCCTATTCTCGACCGTAGCCGCTACCTTGATGTGGTGGTCGGGCTTGCCTATCGTGATGACCCAACCGAGCTATATTGGCTGGAACATATGTTCCTGTAGGTTCTACCATGCCAGGCAGGTCGATTGGAGAACGGTAAGACTAAAAGCAGCAACTCCAAGGTCTGAGGGCGAAGTTGTACTGCTGACTGTAGAGAGGTGTGGCAGCAGTAAGGTGTTTCCCTCGGACAACCAGCATCTGCAGCGATGCTGCCTTCCCACAAGGAGGGGTGGGGTTAGAAATGGTCGACCCTTAAAATGTCACACCTCACCTTACCTCACGGATTTCCGTCTCCGGTGGTAATGCCCTTTGAAGAACGGAGCTAACACATTAAAAACCTTCCACGAAAAGGCCGTGCGCGACCGGCCTCAAGCAGTTGTCCCCTGGGCTCTGCGGTCACGCTCCCAGGTCTTTGAGACCAACACTAATCCAATTTCCTTTTCAGGTTCCTCAAGAAATACCCTTCCACGGTGTGGGCAGCCGGGAAGTGACACCAGCCCTCATACCCGTAACAGCACACGAGACCAAGTTGGTCACATTCAAATCCTTCCTACACCTCCTAATACCTCTCTTATCTCCATGACTAACCCTCCTCACGTCTCTTTATCGCCTCGCACCGCTAGGGCAAACGATCTGAGTACACGGAACGTTATTCCTGGTCTCCTGAAACCACGCTCTAAACTACACGTAGGAGCTTTTAACGTACGAACACTGTGCCAAATAGGACAGCAGGCTTCCTTAGCTAGGACTTTAGAATCCCGCGCCATCGATGTGTGCTGCGTCTCCGAAACGCGCATACAGAATCCGAGCAGCGTCATTCATTTGACCTCACCATATCAAAATAACACTGGATCTCAGCAACATCTACCGCATTGATAGATGCTCGAAAAGTCATCCCATCTGGCTCTAAACATAACGAAGAGCGGAGTCAGCGTAAGCGCAGACTGATAAGAAGCTTACGCAATCATCGCGAATAGTGGTGGGTAGCGAAAACAAGAGAGATGGAAAAGGCAGCGGCAATGGGTAACAGCAGGCAAGTCTTCACACTTGTTAAGGAAACCGGTATTAGGAACCCAACTGTTAACGAAACTATCTCTGAAAAAGATGGACATATTATTCATTCTCAATGCAGGAGATTGGATCGATGGGCAGAACACTTTATGGATCACTTCAACTGGCCTTCAGCCACACTTCGGTTTCACATAATCTTCAGTCGACCTGGATGGCAAGTTAATGTAATTCCTCCAACTCTTTACTTGGTTGAAAAAGCTATAAGAAATCTAAAGCATGATAGAGCAGCAGGCCCTGACAGGTTTACCTCTGAGGTTTTCAGATATGGCGGTCCAGTATTAGCAGTCAGATTAACTGAGGTCTTAGGTAGAATCTGGGAACTGGATGTAATCCCATCTGACTGATCTCAATCACTGATTGTGCCAGTCTATAAAAAAAGAACAAAAGTCCTCTTGTGGCAATTAGAGGAATCAGTTTGACTAATATAGTGTCTAAAATATTAGCTTCAATAATACTTCGACGCCTAACCAAAGCTGGTGAAGAACACGTTAGAGAAAATCAGACTGGTTTTCGACCTAAGCGAGGTTGTGTAGACCAGATATTCACACCACGTCAGGTCCTAAAACATAGATAGACATTCAGACGCCCCACAATCGTGGTATTTCTTGACCTTAAGACAGCGTTCGACTCTGTTGATCGTGAGGTTCTATGGTAGTGTTTGTCACTGAAAGGAGTACCAAAGAAGTACATTAACCTTATAAAGGCTCTCTACTTGAACATAACTGGTCGAGTGAGAGCTTATGGCGAACTGTCATCAGAATTGATTACCTCAAGTGGTGTTCGTCAGGGCTGCCCACTCTCTCCATTCTTGTTTAACTTTGTCATTGACGTGCTTTTAGAGATAACACTTTCCTCATCTAAATTTCCGGGAGTTGAACTTTTACTGGGAGATTCACCTATTGACTTAGAATATGCGGATGACATTTGGTGAAGACGCTGACGAAATGCAAAGTCTTCTGACCACTATAAACAACAATGCAAGGATGTTTGAGGTGCGATTCTTCCCCTCGAAATGCAAAATGTTGCTTCAGGATTGGGTTGCATCGACACCCGAACTAATGATAGGGAGTGAAGTAGTTGAGCATGTTGACCGCCTCACTTATCTTGGAAGTCTCATCAGCCCTTGTGGTCTGGTGTGTGACGAAATCTTGTGGAGACAGGCCTATCTCCACAATCTCAGCACGGATACAGAAGGCTCGACTAGCTT